TCCTGCAAAGTTGAAGTATGTCTTTTGGCAGAATTCGAACAGCCTCATGAGGCATTCAATTTTGAGCGAACTCTGGGTTTCGTCGTGCAGCTCATCAAGTTTCCTGCGTAAGACGTCTCGTGCCAACTCCGGTGGAATAGATGCGAATAATGATGTCACGTCAAAGGAAACCATCATTTCATCCGATTGAATCCTTCGGCCATGGATGTCTGTCAGGAATTGGGAGGCTGAACGAACTGAGGCAGTAGAGTGTTCTTGGAGGAATTTTAGTCCGAGTTGTTTTGTAGGGCACCCGGCGAGCGTTCACGTCCAAGGCGGAGGTACGACTGTCATACATCTATGGTTATGTATAACATGTGCAATACCACTAACATGCAATAAAGTTGCCTTTATGCTCCGAATTCGCTGATAAACATTACCGCTTGTGGGCAATATTTGCGGGCAGTTCCAACCGGCTATATGCGGCTTTCCGCATCTACCAATGAAGGCCAAAATAAGAGTACAAAGAATTAGGTCGGGAGTACTAATTCCGTTACGGTTTTTATTCAACTTATGCATCGAATTTATGTTTACATCTATCCTCTGCAATAGGCGCAGACTTTGCGTAGCTCCGAATTGTCACACATAGTAATTTAAGGTTAAGGTAATTTACCTACATACCCCTCAATAAAAGATACTGCTCCTGATAGCAGGCTCTTGAATTGTCGATTTCCTCGGTTTTTATTCATTTATTTATTTAGATTTAATACATAAGGTCACAATGGATATCGACATACTGCTTGGGACAAAAAGAGACGCTCATATGGAGGTTTTTACAATGAAAACATACTAATATTGTATTGGTCAATTAAGCCGTCAACAGCTAGTCATAAACAGATCCATATTTGGCAAAGGATGAAGCACAAACGCACGACTTTTTTGTAAGAAGCTTAAGGCACTATGTTTTAATTCATACCTCCTTTACCCTGCGAGTTATGCTGTCTTTAAATGATGGAATATCAGTCAAGTTCTGCAAGTGTCAATACGCGCTAGAAGTTTTCAAAGTAACTCTGGGATTTTTCGGGTGATTCTGGAAGACGTGAATAACGAGTAAGCCCATACTTCTGAATCACATCAAAAGACAACATGATTATCTTGAAATACAACTTACAGCCGGATTAATACTTACGCATTACGATTATCAGCATTGAGTTTGCTAGGGCCTAAGTTGATTAAAAACAATTATATGGCTGAAGTATCTGCACCAGCTATCGTTATAAGGAGAACGAACCTGAAAAGGAAGCTCCGTATGATTAGAAATGCTGAAGACCGCCTATTTACTGATCAGAACCCGAGATACATTGGACTTCTTTTTCTGCTGGTCATAATAGTGAATAAAATCAGTGTGAGATAGGTGGAAGTATGCCGCCAACGAATACGGGCTAGCTCATGCAGACCTTTTCATAAAGGTAATCCACACGTTTTGAAATAGAGAAACCGCCTATATAAGGGGGACATGCTGTTCTAGTGTTGCACTGGTAGAAGCGTTTATAATCCAAATTAATCAATGCTGAATCCCTGGGAGCCTGCCGAGGTAAGATATTTCGCAACGATAACTTAAAAGCCAGGAGACAGACTGTGTTGACAAGATTTATTGGCCCGAGAAATCGCACAATGAACTTGTGAGTGAGTAGCACCTAATATCCTAGTACGCCGCGAATGTGTGTAGAGACGGTGCGAGGTTTGTGGACGTCCCCATAATTTGCCTGCATGTAACCAAGGAGAATAGGGAGTAACTTTAATTGTCCCAAACTTGCACACCGGGGGATCAGCACTGACACATTGCAACGGAAATTTTAGTCAGACCAAGCCTAACATGAACAACTGAGTTCGCCACTGGTCCATTTCAGGAGGTTCTCGATGACTGAAATCTTAGCTAATGATGTTATGTTTTTTGCAAGCAAAATCTTTAATAATGCATCAAATGAACGCAATATTTGACCTCGCGCAGGCATGAACGGAAATTTTAGCACGTGGTACGTCATCGGTCGTTCTAAGGGTTTTATGGTGGATGGTCAATAAAGTAAATGACAAAATCAATCGAAGCCTACCCGTTGCATTGTGTCAGATTAAAATTATTCGCCATGAATTGCTGGAATGGGTTCTGGTATTCTTTTGGACAATGGCCGGCTAGAGCGAATAATATATCCTGCACGACCGCAGCAGGTAAATACATATATCCACATGAAGGTGGTCTAGGCTGGCAGTTTGGTCTTGACCTCTCCGTATAGAATGGGAGTAGTCGTGGGCAGTAAATGGGCGCTGGATGCTGTAAACGTGGTTGCTACCGCTTAAGTCGGGCGCTTCTTAAGAAGTTTTTTTGGTGCGTCCTTTGAGATGGGACCCTGATGAATATTCACTTCTTCTCTGCTGGTAAAACTGAGGAAATTTATGGCCTTTTAACGCTGTTCATAGCGATTCATCGACTGGGACACCCATTTGTAGAAACAGGCCCTCAGAAATCTTAAGCTTCCGTTCGATGCTATTAGTCAAGCAGATCCTTTTCGGCTTTTTGCAACAAACATCGTACTAAATTAAATTTGAATGTTATCGCTGCGAAGCTAGCAAAGTGGTCATATTGCCCAGACCACGTCTCCTTACAATATATCCTACATTGAATACTCCTATCAGCCCTTTTACGCAATAATTAATGGAATGTTGAATTTATAGACGCATGCGCCCATTTACTTTACTCACTAGAACTCAGAGGTTGCTTTTTACTGATGAAACCGTGGCTGAATCATCTACGCAACACTTGAAGCGCGTCAG